GCCCCAGCTGCGCAGTGAGGAGCACTGGCTCTGCCACAGTTCTTGGGGCTTCTGGGCATCCCAAGGTGTAATCAGAATAAAAAGTCTCAGTTAATCGAGGGTTCCAAGCTTTATCGAAGAGCATGAGAAGTGTGATATAGCTGCCTGCATGAGCTGTGGAGTCTGATGGAGAGATGGATCCTTAGTGCTGGGGGGTTTTATCTTCTTTTTTCCTTGGGTGCTCTGTCCTTTCTAACTGTTCAACAGCAGCTGCAGGACTTCTCGAGACACTTTGAGCTCTAGTAATGTGCAGTAATGTGCATATTCCCAATAAGTTTGTCAGAAAGATTGCACTTCAGTTGATGCATATCAACAAATTGCTGTCAAGTTCTGTTTTGTCCCTGTGCACCTTTACTTCAAAAATAACAACGGATGTGTTGGGGTGCTTTTTGAGGTGTAGGTTCATTATAGAGCACCGTCCTGGTGCTTGATAATTAACTCCTCTGTAGCCCCTTTAGTGACCTAGGCTTCTTTCTGAAGGATCATTTGGTTGTAAAAAGTATTTTCTTACTGTGCATAAAACAGCTGCTCAGAGGTTTGGGATCTCGCTCTATTAAGTGGCCGTCCGGCACCACTTATACACTGGGATGATGAATGCTCTAGGGATGAATCCATTTGTGATCCATGTTGTTACTGTTTCCAAATTCATTCTTTAATACTGGAGTAACCTAACTATATTGTGTCTTACTGCTTAAAGATAAGACAGGAAATTGTGAAGGGGGAGGAAATTCTAGCTGTTGGCTGACCACAGAGGTAGGGTCACACTCCAGAATTTGTGAGATATTTAACCTTTAAGCATTCTTCATTTAATTCTAAGAAAGCATTCAGAAATTATGACTGCCCAATTTGTATTTCAAGGCACTAAATTTAACTTTCATATTGCCACCAGAGGGCAGCATGTTACATGAGCTGGCAGGGCAGAACCTGATAATATTCTGACTTGAAGCAAAGGTGAACTTGTAAAATCTGAGTTTTAAGAAGTATCAGTGATCCATTTACATTTTTCCTGTTATGTTCAGCTTGCAGTTAAGTGTGCAAATACTCAGCGTGGCGTTAGCATTCTGAGAAAGAGAAGTGACGTTATTGACACCTGCCAAGTGAAAACTAAATGTAGCTGTTCTGTAACTTGCAGTCTGGTGCCTTTAGCTTATTATTACTCCTGCTTACAACTTCCGTAAGACAGAGGTATTGGTAACTTGCTCCCTTACTTCCTATGGTGTTTTTACTAGTTACAGAATTCATTCTTCCCATTTTTGTCTCAAGGGTGGTAAACCTACATTACTTGTTGACTTTGTCATCCATAAAATGGATGTCAAAGTTGATTTAATTCTGTGTTCATGTCTTTAGGATTAATTTATCTTAAATGCAGCATCTGTACTGCTTGGTAGTTGGGGTTTTGAGGGTTTGTGGTTTTTTTTTTTTTGAGGTGAACATTGTGAGACTTGACTTTTCGATCCCCACGTAGCAATAAGATCTAGGAAACTCTTTATACAGATCATCTAAAGTGGTATTACACTGGTATATTTGGAGTCAAAAACCTCCTTCACTAGCTTTGCAGTAGGTGCAGGTGTGACACAACAGGCAGATCACATCTTACAAGACTCACTTTCCCACTTGTATGGGAATATAATTTTCCTCGGCAGAGTATTACTGTTATTTGAGAACCTAGTCATAATGTGACCACAACTGAAAAAGATGCTATATGAAAACAAATCACTGAATAACTTTGTATACAACATTTTTTTTAATGCTGTGGTACAGATACATTCAGTAGTCTCATGTAAAAGCATCAATAATATGTGATTTAGAAAGATTAAAACCAAGAGTTAAACATTAAATGTAGACCTTTTCTTGACGTTACATTGTTTTCTTTAATTTTCCTGAAACGCAGTCTAGAATTTTTATATTTGGAAGTCTAACATACTGGTTTTGCAAAAGTCTCTCTCTCTCTCCCCTTCTTATGAGTAATGGAGGTACTGTGTACCAGGACCTTGCCGTTTTCCAGGTGACTTGAGTATAAATTCAGATGGAATCATAGAATCATTTGGTTGGAAAAGACCTTTAAGATCATTGAGCCCAACCATACCTGCCCACTACTAAACCATGTCCCTATATCTGGTACTGCCTTTCCTGGGGAGGTGAAAATAAACCTGGACCTGAGTTGATTTGGGGTGGAAGTGGCTTGAGTATCTTTAGTAACAGCAGCATTACGGGAATGTACAGTGCGACTGCAGTAGGCTTGGTAGGCAGCCAGCCGAGCCTGTGTGGGCTTACTGGTCGAGGTCTTGTGTTGTGTGGAAGTGGCTAAACTGCACCTGGATCCAAGTTGGCGTGAGAAGTGCTACAGCTGTGTTCTTGCAGTCCCCTGCACATGGTCTAATAAATCCAAACTGGATTTGAGGGGAAACCGCTCTGTCTTTCTGCATCCATGGCTCAGTTAATCTGCAAATAGGATAAACTGCCCATAAATAATTGAGAGTTTATAGTATACTGCATGTTCCAGATAAGAGTTAGAACGTGCAGTATTAAAAGAGATTTTTGGAAGTAGTCAATTATAGCAAGTTCACCTTCTTGTCCTTGCTAATTGGGGCAGTAGCGTGCAATGCCAAAATTTGATGTGATATTCTTAAAGCAAGGAGGCTGCTGTTTTCAATAAAGTTCTCAGGTGGTTATTTTGAGTCCACTTACACTTTGAAGCGTAAGCTAACTTAAAATACATGGATGCAAGAAAAAAATGGAAGTCTCAAGGGATGCAAGTCTCCTTTCATGGCTGATTAGTAGTAATTTTTCAGAATCCATACCAACTGAAGAAAACATGAGGTAGATTTATTATGTGCTATATTCTTGTCAAACCATTGTTTTCAAATAGGAATTATTTATATGTGACCCAGTGCAGCCTGGCATTTTGCCATGCAGAATAACAGTACGGTGCTGTTTTAACACTTATAGGTGGTGCACCAGAATCACGGATGGGAATGTGGTAGGCAAATTATGTACTTTCCAGACAACTGAAATGATAGAACTGAGATGAATGGGATATTTGGATTTTTTCAGATCAACGGTTTCTTAGGCAATATGTTTAATGTTAAAATAGACTGTACTGAACTCGGTGTGCTTTTTTGCTTTGTACAGTACATGTGTAACAGCTGGGGGAGGGGGGGCAGGAATTGAGCGTTGCTAAATCATGCTATGCTTTCCAGTGCAGTCTATTTTTTGTGAGGATAAGGTACATTCATGCAGTGGTCTGTTCTTGAGTGTAGCATCCAGAAGATATTTTATACTCAGTTGTGTTAGTTTGTAGTCTGTTAAAATTCTCGCTATGTTGGTCTAAAGTAATTTTTATAGATCTAATGTAATTCTCATGAAATTAATTCTAAGAACCTAGGTATACTTAGCCAACATATTCTAGAACTGTTAGAAGTGCCAATTGTTAAGTGCTTGTTTACATGAAGTTATCATAACACATTTTTAAGACTTCAAGTTCTGTTTAATGTCCCCCTAAAATAGAAGCAAGCAAGTATCCTCACAGGTTCCAGCTGTGTGAATTCCCAAAGTTTTTGACTTGCACCTTTCAGTAGGCCCATGTATGAGGCCATTACAGTAATTAGTGTGTTATCAGAAACCAAGATAAGTTTGAATTTTTTTTTCTTACATTGAAAACTTAAGTTTCTGAGGAATTTGAATCGATTTGTAGCTGGCTGAAAGCCAATTTTTCTCCTCAACTCTAGCGCGCGTTTGAAAAACGAACTCACTTCCTAAGTGCCTTGTGAATCTGCAATGATTAATTCTTCTCATTATTTTGCTGCAAATTCTCATGACCCTCTGTGATGATTCGATCACCCACTTAGAGTTTATGCATATTCATATCTTTCCGCTCCTGCTGCAGTCGTTCAAGTCTCCTTCACTGGCTGTGGTGTGTGCTTGGTGCAGTAATTGAGCTGCAGTAGATTGATTACTCTGGGGAGCTGTAAGGCCTTTAAAGGTGAAAACATATCAGTCCTGTTAATTAGGAAACAAAGCTCTGGTGGCAAGTTCAGCAGTCAAATGCTTCCAGTGTAGAAATGAGGAAAGGTATGATTTGTTCCTCTCCATGAACCCTGTTTACTTTTTTATATTTGAATTAGGTCTGTATTTTCTCGAAGAGGCTTGTGCAGAAGATAGCGTATCTTGTATGAGTGCATGGTGTTGGTATTTTAAAACAAAAAGACCTATATGTTTGATACTGAGTGTAATTATTAGCTGCTGTTAATCACCTCTTAAATGATACATTATTTTAGGCATTACTTGACCTATAAAGTTAAATGAGAGATGAAGAATGGAATAATTGATTGTAAACTTTAACCAAAAACATTTACATCATTCAGTTTTTCAGACCTGAATGTCAAAGTCTTTTTCTCTGAATTAAACCAATACATTTTCAGAAATCATAATAAAACCTGGGGTCTCTCCTTTCTACTATTAAGATGTCGATTGCCTATCGTGTGCAAGATTAATTAAAGAGAATATGTTCTTAAAATTAGGTGAATATTAAATGATAGCATAAGGTTTCATCCAGCAGACAGCATCCTTACATCATCATTGTAAGTACCCTGTGGTTTTATGTTGCTAAGCACTCTAATCTAGAGTGGCCTATTACAAAGATATTAAGGGTAGGGGAAACCATCTGCCACACAATCTATCCATAAGGGTCAGAAATAAATAATTTAAAAGTAATTTATATATCTTAAAACCCACTTTTTCCCTGTAATTACTGGACAACAGATTGTAGAATACAGATGTTGTGAAAATGCCACTGTTTTTGTAAACAGCGTGCAATCCATTGCTACT